TTAAATATTTTCTTGATAAAGAATACCATTCATTTCTTGGTATAGTTCTAGTTTATTTATAATTTTTGTAATATCAGTTATTATTTTAATTGCTTCTGTTTAATTATTTAAATTTGATTTTTAAAGCCATGTAACATAGGCCTATTTGTAATTATTGAAACAGAGAGTTAGAATGAAATTAATTATATTGCAGTCTTATAATTTTAGGCATATAACTTAAAAACAGCAAAACATTATGGAATAATTATGAATTGGAATTTTAAAAATATTTTATATTTCTGTGTTTTTTTTCCCCTTTTTTTTCCCTTTTTTCTTCTTTTTTTTTAAATTTTTTTTTTATTAAAGTAGGCCTAATTACTTTTCACTAGTGGAGAGCTCCACAATAGCCATTTGTTAGTATAGAGTACTGGGTACCCGTAATTTTTGCAGGCCTATCTAGTAGCCTAAAGACAAAATAAATCATATATCGATATTAGTTATTGCTTACCGACTTCGCAATAGGGGTTTAGCCAATTAGTATAACATGATCCTTCCAAGCACCCCAATCTATGGCATGATGTACATTTAGTGCATTCCAATTCACAGTTTTCTCCAAAATAACCAGTTTTACATTCTACAAAAGATATTGGACAGTGAATTTTCTAAAATACCGTAAATTAACAGTACTATACAATTCTTTCAACATTATCTTCTCACAAAAGTTTAATTAATACACTATTGCGTGTATATTTATGTATTGTGAGGTATAAATATAAATCATACAAACTGAGACATCTACTAATTGTGATTCTCCTCACTTTCTTTTCTTTTTTTTTTTTGCTTCCACATCCTACAATCAACATATTGACGCAGAGTTTCTACCTTTTAATTCGGATATTTAGTTGAAAACACAGGAAGTTACTCATTTATTAACTATTTTGAGGTGATCATGAGAAAGTTAATTTGCTTCAAATCATATATTATCAACTATCATGTTTAATTCGAAAAAAACCCCCAACAAATCGATACAGTAACAATTTCAGATTAGGCCTACCTTGACAATTTGATCCTGTCCACCGTGATTGACACGTCGTATCATTGCCAGTGCACTTTCCGGTGTACATGTCGCATGTCCCATTATTACAGTGACATACCTGTGCACACCCTGCTCCAAATGTCCCTTCTATACAAGCTGTAAATAATTAGAGTATTTTCCATATAAATATCATAGGCACAGTTATTTTAGTTTAATAGGGTTTGTATATTGTAAACTGAATATATCATAATTCGTCTTACGTGTGAGACAGTCCAGACCTGTGTATCCTGTAACACAACTACATCCGTATGGGTCTGGTAAGCAGAATTGATAACCTCTACATGAATAAGGTCTATTTCTCTTTCCGATACATACCTGTTCACAGTCAAATCCAAACTTGTTACCACCACACTCTGAATATTGTAAATAATTAAAGGATGTCAACTTCAATTTCGTAAGTTAATTAGATAGTGAACAAAATTGAAATCAATACTATTCAATTAAAGTAAATATTGAAAATTACTATACACTGATTACATCAATATTAGCATGTGAACTTTGTGTAAGTACAAATATAATAAATTTCACTCCAACATTTGACAAGGACATTTTATTTACTTTTCGCTTTCGGTTTTTCATTTTTTGTATTATTTTTATTAATGCTGGTAATGCTTCAATAAATAAATTATAAAAAAAAAAAGAAACGTCGAATAAAATGGCCTTGTCAACTTTTGTTCTGATCACATCCGTAACACAATAAGTTTAAGTTTAATAAGGCAATGAAAATGATAAACTTGAAAGTGATTAACAACATATCAGAATACATTTCAATACTTCTTAATACTAGGCCCTACTAAATCTATGTAGATCAAGTTATAGGAGGGCACAGCACCGACATGGATGGCTTCTGCACTTTTTAGCTCCGATGAGGAGCTCTGGGAATACCCTGCGGATTGATTAGTAATAAGCCTAGTAATAGATTCAGTTTGTTAATAGACCATGTTTGTATGGGCAGCCGTTAGGGCCAAGAATTTTTAGTATTATTAGTAGTATTAGCGGCCAATTATTATTATTATTATTATTATTATTATTATTATTATTATTATGATAATGATGATCATGATTATGATCATGATCATCATTAGCTCCAATGAGAAGCTCTAAAAGCACTCGGCTGAAACCACTAAAACGATCAATAGAAACAGCTGACGATTAATACATTACGACAATATTTTGCTAGCAGTGCAATTTTATTCCCTGAATTTAGTCCGGGGGCATATGTCGAAAAATGGGCTCCCGTGGGATTTTTGTGATCATTTTAGTTTTTTGGATGGAATATATACTTTGAAGTATGTTGAATCCGATAAAATGAGTCGCCAATTTTTTTACGCACATCTTCATATGCAAATTAGTTAAAATATGCAAATTAGTTCTGAAAATGTAGGGTACTTATATCTCGGTAACCACTTGTCGTAGAAAGTTGATTCTTTCTTAAAGTTGTTCAGAACATGCATGTTTTTATTTACCCTAATGA